TTAAGGTGGTGGTTGTTGGAGATCAAAGTGCAGGAAAAACCAGTGTGTTAGAAATGATTGCCCAAGCCCGCATATTCCCTCGAGGGTCTGGGGAGATGATGACACGTTCCCCTGTGAAGGTAAGAAATACAATCTCTGAATCAGCATTTGCCATATTCTTCTCCCTCTGATTATGTCATTAACTGAAATATATATAAACACTAATTTATAACATGCCTTCTAAGCAAGTGAGTTGATGCAGTCAATGACAAAACTGTTTCAGACCTATATATGATCCATATATACAATCAGAGTAGTAGTTTCTGCTGTAAGTAGTACCGTGCTGAATAAACATTATATACAGTAGTCTGTATGCAGTGGGAAGTGTACATATGCTATCTACGTCTCATGTTTCTCTCTGTTAGATTCACCATACTTTCTCATTTAGGTAACCCTTAGTGAAGGTCCCCACCATGTGGCTTTATTCAAAGATAGCTCTCGGGAATTTGATCTGACCAAGGAAGAGGATGTAAGTATAAAGACGTGACTGGAAGTTAATATGACTTTTATTAATTCTCTGAAAAATTTGGTGTCTTTGTGAGCTGTTAGCCCCTGTTTAATGAGAGTGAAATCTGTTTAGTGGGGTGAGGCATTATATTCATTATTAAATTATCTCTTAGTGTGGTTTTTGGCTGGCACTAAAGTGGATGAAATACAGAAGGAGCTCTTGTGCAAAGACATTTTTGGATTATGCAATGGTCTGCAGGTAATCTGTCATTTAGCAACTCATTTACCTTAGTTATTCAACATGCATTTGAGATGGTATTTATAAACAGAGATCTTAATTCAAAGTAAACTTGTTAGATTATTTTTCTTATATCACGCTTATAAGGACTTTGATATTTTGCTTTTCTCAAAACAGCTTGCAGCTTTGAGAAATGAAATAGAAATCAGAATGAGAAATAGTGTGAAGGAAGGGTGCACTGTTAGCACTGAGGTAAGACTTGCAAATATTCAGTGGCAAATATCTGTACATGTGTATCTTTTGTAAGTATTCTTCAAATAGAACACTGGTGAATCCAGTTTGTGTATACATAATATTTTGCACTATACAAAGTGCATTTGGACTGATAAAATCAGTTTTGTGTGTCGGTTCTGTGCATATAAAATTTGACTTCCTATTTAAAATTACAGGCTGTTGCTGGTTTAAAGCATATGTGTATAAATATGCAGTTAGTTTTGTATATGTGTATAAGTAATTACATACAAAGGAGGTGAGTGTATGAACCTTCAGTTTCAAATTTACTTCACAGACTATCTCCTTAAGTGTGAAAGGTCCTGGTTTGCAGAGAATGGTATTGGTTGATTTACCTGGAGTCATTAGTGTAAGTATGCAGTAGATTTAAAAAAAAAAAAAAATCTTGAAGAGATGGTGAGAACATTAACTGCTGTTTTTCTTTTTTTACATAATTCTGTTTTCTTTTTTACTTTAAACATGTATCTCCATATACATATTAAAGACTGTGACATCAGGTATGGCTCCAGATACTAAGGAAACTATCTTTAGCATCAGCAAGGCCTACATGCAGAATCCTAATGCCATCATCCTTTGTATTCAAGGTAAAAAGAGTCTAGATGCTTGTGGGCTGACAGGGTTTTTTTTATTTTGTAATTGTGATTCTTAGGTGACTCTGGGGACTGTCCTGATATTATTTTTTTTTTCCATTTGTGATTGTTTGTATAGTGTACAAAACAGACTATCTGTTTATAAATTAAGGCACCTTTTGGTATCCATGGCAAAAAGGAACTCTATGATGAGAGTTTTTTATCATTTGAAAAAACAGTGGTGATAATAAAATCTAGTGTTTCCTCAAAAGTGTTTTGGAGGCAGCCAATAATAATAGAGTTTAATATTTTGAGTGAGCTGGTACTTGTTCAAAACTTTTACAACTACAATTATTTTTTTTAATAATACTGGGAACAAAGCAGATTTTCACTTTTTGTACCCAAAAATTGAATGTAAGTGTAATTTTACTGGTTTTAAGTTGCAAAATGAAACTTACTTGATGTCTACTATGTATTCAGTACTGCGTGTTACGTTATATAGCCCCTAAAATACAGCATTGGTTTTGTTTGTTTTAGATGGATCAGTGGATGCAGAACGCAGTATTGTCACAGACTTAGTCAGCCAAATGGATCCTCAAGGAAAAAGAACAATTTTTGTGTTGACTAAAGTTGATCTTGCTGAAAAAAATGTGGCTAGCCCCAGCAGGGTGAGTTGAAACTGCTTTTCTCATATTGTGGTGGGTTAAGTCACATGTGGAAAAATACATGAGATGCTGTCAAAAATATTGGACATTGCCTGCCTGTTCTAGATGGTGTTGAGTGCTTATTTCTGTGTTCAGCACTGTTTGGTTATTTATTTATTGTGGTGGTTGTTTTAATCTCATGCTTTGCTTTTAGTGATCAGTTGCATGACTTCAGTCACAGCTTGGCTACAGCTTGCTGTAATACTGGTTCCTTTCTTGCAGGTGACCTGAGCAAGTTCTCTTTTCTGAGAATGCTTTAGGATATTCTGGGATAGGCTTTTTCACTTTACTTTATGTTTTTCTGTGTTATGCTTTATTTGGTTTATGCCCCTGATTTATTTATTTTTTTTTTTCCTTTTAAATACCTGTTGAACTCAAAGTCCCATGATAAACTGCCTTTTATGGAATTCTATGCATAGATAAAACTAGATCTGGCTTTGAAACTGCGCTGAAGGAAAGAATGTCTTTGTGCATAGTTAACCACAGTTTTTTAATCCTTTATTTTAATAGATCCAGCAAATAATCGAAGGCAAACTCTTCCCCATGAAAGCTTTGGGTTATTTTGCAGTTGTTACTGGAAAAGGTAAAGAGAGCTCAGGCTCTGCTTATTTTCTCCTTGATGGCAGAGAAAACTGTCTAAATGGAACTGTTGCAGCACTCCTTTCTTTCTCCAGGAAACAGCAGTGAAAGCATTGAATCTATTAAAGAGTATGAAGAGGAATTTTTTCAAAATTCAAAGCTGTTGAAGTATGTTGCTATTTATTCCTTTTACTAAAATAAGCCTGTGTTGGTAAATGCTAACATCAGTTTTTCTTGCTGAAATTAAAGAAGGAATGCACTGTGGAACTCTGAGATTTACTCTGCTTAAATGAAGTATCTTGTCGAGGTGACCAAGTGAGCCTGGTTTCTCTAAGTCAGTGGAGAGACACAGACATCTTCAGGCAGCAATTGGTTCCGCTGGAGTTTTGAGCCTCTCTTCAGATGTTTCTGCATCTCTCCATTGGCTCTAGAAGAACTAACTTCCCAGCAAGGCCTAGGTACTTGATACAACTGGGAAGAGTGAATCCAGCACAAGAATTAGCTGTAGTCCCTCTAAATATCAGTCATCTTGGTGTGACAATGATGTTGTATTCGAAGGGTTAGCATGTGTGTTTTGCTAGTTGATCAAAGTTTTGATTTCACAGGTTTGTATTTCTCAGGAAAAGTAAGCTAAGCTGCATGGTCTTTGGGACTGCAGTACCTGCACTACACCCTTTAGAATAAAAATTTGTGGTGGGATTTTTGGGATTCTGGGGTTTGGGGTATGTTTTTGCGTTGTTCCCTCTCTTTCCTCCTCCATTTGATCACTGAATAATTTGGAGGAAGAGGCTGGATTTTGGATTAGGTGCTCATTGACATGTTATTGTCTGCTATATAAAGCAAAGCTTTATTCTTGTGAGGAGAAAATGGGGTCCAGAAAGCATTGTAATGCATGGAAGAATTTCCTCTAGCTGTCTTCCTTTACAGGACATGTATGCTGAAGGCACACCAAGTAACAACAAAGAACTTAAGTCTTGCTGTGTCAGATTGCTTTTGGAAAATGGTGAGAGAGTCTGTGGAGCAGCAAGCAGATGCTTTCAAAGGTAAACGTCTTTTCAAAACCCAAGTGAAATAGCAGCTTGCTGTTAAACAGGTCTTCCACATACATATAATACTGTTCTGCCAGCATGCTTGGGCAGTTGTGTTTTATATGTTAATCCTTACAAAAACGCAGAAAAAAAAAATCATGGAATGAAGGACCCACTTGCTCTAAAAGCCAAAGAAGTAAATAAGTATGAAGAAAAAAATTCAGGTTTTTCTTGTGGGCAAAACACACTTTCACTGGATTCAGAAAGTGCTTCCTATATAAAGATAACATCTGATCAGCCAGGACAGGATTGCCTTGTACAGAGATGTAAGTTGCATGGCTCTATTTCCACTACAGTTTTTCAGTGCATGAATTCTGCAATTTGCAGACAAAATATCTGAACATAGACAGCAAGAAAATTTGCTCATTTGCAGAGGCACTTAATGTTCTTGGATGTCATAAGCAAGATTTGTGTAAGTTTTAGGAGGTGAACTTCTAAGATAGTCATGAAGTGCATGTAGACAAGAAAAATATTAAGGCCTTGTTTCTGATTTTGCAGCCACACGTTTCAATCTTGAGACTGAATGGAAAAACAATTACCCTCGGTTGCGAGAGCTTGACAGGGTAAATTACTGCTTTAATTTATGTGCTACAAAATGTTGAAAATTATGGATTAAAATTGTCATTTAATCTCATTTGTAAAGGTTTCTTAAAGTAAATGTAAAGTACTGACATTTTAAAATGCAAGAACAGTATAGAGTGTTCTAGGGGAAGGAAATACTGAGCTCTCTGTTTCATGAAATAGTGTTCTTCAAAATTGTGATACTTCAATGCTTAGAAGTCCTTCACTCTTCTATATGCAGTTCACTGACCTAACCTGCTCACAGAAATAAGTCAGTGTTTCTTTGTGATCATTACAGAACTGGCAAAGAGAACTTAGGTTCCCTGGTCTTTCAGTCAGATGGAGTATCAAAACAATTATGATGTCATTTCTCTAATTCCTTTGTAGAGACCCTGAATATTCAAATGCCATGCCTGGCCAAAGGCATGCAAGATATGGGTGGGAAGATGTATGGTAAAACAGGATAGCTTACAACAAGCACATAAATTGTCCAGAACATGACTGGAAGGTGTAAGGTTTTAGGTTTTTACTTTTTGTATGGAAACATGATTGAACTATACTTAAAATCTTTTTATTCCATATTTTGCCTTTTGCATAGAATGAACTATTTGAAAAAGCAAAGAATGAAATTCTTGATGAAGTCATAAGCTTGACTCAGGTCACACCAAAGCACTGGTATGGTAATTTTTATTTTCCTGTCTCTCTTCACCTCCCCCCTATTTTTTTTATAATTAACTAGGAAAACTTCACTTTTAAAATACAGAGTTTTACTAAACAAAACTCTCAAATATAAATAAGGAACTGTTTTTTCTTAGGTCAATGTGTTATGTCTTTTATCCCTGTGGAAGCAGTCTGTTTGTTTGTTGTTCTGAATCAGCAAACACTTGTATAATCCCTTGACAAAAATCACATTATGTCAGTTTGTGTTTTGTTGCGTTTTTATACAATATAATAAACAATAGATACTCCTCAAAAATGAAAAGTATCAGTGATAATAAAGCTGTTTTCAGATGTTCATTTGGAGTATGAATCGGTAATTTTTTTTTTACTTGATATTTGGGGTTTATCATTGTGTATATCAAAAGAATATATATATGACCTTGGAAAAAAGAAGTTTTGTATCCCTATGAATCAGAGATTTGAAAATTGAAAAATTATGTAATTCCTGGCTGTAGAAAAAGCTCACTGGATGCTTGAGAATTTTACGTTATGTGTGGATCTCATTAGTAGCCTCAACCAAGTAGCACCATACTATGCTGCCCCACTTCTTTGTAAGGCAGACATAGCTCTGAGAGAGAGCTTAGCTGAAGTATTTTAACAGTGTAGCATTACTGTATAGTAAAGCCACTGTATGCTGAGAGGAAAATACAAGGAATTACTTTGATGGCAGCCTGTACCACAACTAAGAACCTTCAGTGACCTGAATTGAACTGTTATTTGGTCATAGATTAAAAACCAAGGTAAAATGTCTGAGTCTTACTAACATTAAAGTAATTCTGGGCATGTGGATGCATTCAGAGGAAGTGTTGTAGGCAGTGTATTAGGCTGAATTTATTTTCTAGTCCAAGTGTAATGCAGGTTTGCCATTTTGGTGCTTGGTCCTGTTCACTGTATAATAAATGCTGAAGTACCCTGGTGCATGTTTAGTCTACTTAATTTTGTTGTGGATGGGGTGGGTGCATTTCTTTCTGAATGTTAAAATGTAGTGATGATTCTAGTTTTGCAACAGTTAATAAACTATAAAGTAGAACTGGAAACCTAAGTCATGAAAAAATGCTTCCATTAGCCATTATATGCAGCCTAAAATCAGCAGTGCATTTAATGAATGCAAATGTTTCTATCCTGTTAAAATACCTATTCCTTCCAATTAAGTTTGATTGCATTAAGCAAAGCAGAAGAGTATTTTTATTGACATGTCAGTAAAGAAGGAAGGAGATTGCATTTGTTCTTAATAGCAGGACTGCCCTTCTCCTACAGTGAATTTGTAAGTGGTGAAATCCGTAACAGACAGTTTCCAGCACACCCTGTAAGTGAAATTAATTTGCCATGTCCGCGGTTCTAATGATGATCAGGAATGATCAGTAATTGATCTTTGTTTGAACCCTATCCAAATCATCCTGTTTTGAACAAAGCTTTATAAAATTATTTTTTTTTTTTAGTGGTAGCAATATTAATTTTTATTTAGAGTGAATTCTTTCAATGTTTAAATGTTTGAGTTCCTTTTAATTTTGTGTAAATACTTTTACTATCCTAAATATGCCAAAAATCTGTTCCAGCAGTAGAAAAACTACTGGCTTTGATTCCCATTTAAACTGCTATGTTTGAAGGACAGCTTCAAAATTTTTGAATCTCAAAGGAAGATGCTTTAAACACAAAAGAAATTTTCAATTATGCCATTGTTGAAATGGGTGGAGAGGTGATATTTATGAGAAGTTCTTCAGTCATTGTCTGCAAATCCAGTTAGAGTAGGGGCATTTTCAGGGTTGAAGCATGTGTCCTGAACTTGAGAGCGTTTGGAAGAAAAGGACTTGAGTGAATCCGGCAGTCTTGTACCACCAAAATAAGGTAGTTTTTATTCTTCATCTCTTAGCTCTTGCAATTCTACCAAATCTGGCATTTGTATGATCTTATGGTAAGCTGATTTAGCATGTTTAGCTAGGATATAATTAACCTGCAAGAAACCCAGAATCTGTACTGGAGACTGGAGCAGGAGCAGAAGGAATGTGACTGCCTCTGTGGGTACCAGCTGCATATTAACACTGGCTTAGTTGGGTAGTCTCACTGCAGCTGCAAAGTTCCCTGAGAGAATTTATTGTCATTTAAAAAGATTAAAGTTAGATTGTTTCCATTGTTACTTCTTGAAACACATCATAAATAGGAAAGAGGTGCTTAGTTTTACAGTGTCATGAGGTACATTTGTAAACGAATGTCAGCGTACATTTTGGCAAAAGGTTGGACTTCTCAACTTGCTTCACTGTTTATCAAATCTGGGAACAATCAATGAAAATCCCAGATGGAAAACTACAGCATGTTCCAACAAACAAATCAGAATACTACAGAGACAAAACCCACATGGAGTTGGTTTCTCCACGTGTGAGACATCAGTCAAGTAATTTCAGTGCTTTACAATCTGCCCCTTTGTCTTTCCCTCATCTGCCATGCGTATGCACACATAGCTCTCCATGGTTATACTGGTATAATTAAAGACTGCAAGGAACTGTTGTGCAGTGGCAACCATAAGAGTAGTAGAGGTCAACTTGTGAAGTTGTCTTTGCTGTTGAAAACATTGTGCATTTGTGTACTTAGTCCAAGCAGATTTTGTTTGAAGTGGTGTCCTGATGTTAAGGGAGTATTTCCTTGTTCCGTAGCCTTGCTTCCTCAGTGTTTCTAACAAATGGAATGCATTCTTGTTAGACACTTTTGTACTGGAAGTTATCATATGTGTTACAACTTCCATTTTAGGGAGGAGATTCTTCAGAAAACTTTATGGGAAAGGGTATCTACTCATGTGATTGAGAATATATACCTTCCAGCAGCACAGACTATGAACTCAGGGACATTTAACACCACTGTGGACATCAAACTGAAGCAGTGGACTGACAAGCAGCTACCTAATAAAGCAGTAGAGGTGAGAACTTAGCTATTTAAATTAAAAAATAAAAAATAAAAACTCTGTTCAAAGCCTGATGAAATGAAAGCATACCTTCAGAGAAGGTGATGGTTTAAAGGGCTTACTGCAGTTCTTCTAACTACTTTACATGTAAGAGTAGGCTAGCAAGATCTTGATGTTGAGAAGCGCATACATTAGGAACATTGTATTTTGCTCTTGTGGTGAATTTTCCATACTAAAGACAAAAAAAAAAAAACCTTCTTAAAAGGTTGAACAAACCCTTCAAGGTAGGTGTATTCATTTAATAGATTTATGCAAGTTTAACAGAATTCGACTTGCTATAATATAGCAAACTGAAATTTAGTCTTGACTTCATTAGCAATGGGCAAGGCAGCAAAAGAAAAGTCAATGACTTACTCTTTCACTTGTACATTGTTTTTGGAAAGTATGCAGATTTTCATACTTGCAAGAATTGTCATGAATGTGTTTCATTACCAGCTGGTGCGTGGTATAATGACCTGTATCAGTAGTCATTGTTTGCTAACTTTCTAGGTGGCATGGGAGACTTTGCAAGAAGAATTTTCGCGTTTCATGACAGAACCAAAAGGAAAAGAGCATGATGATATTTTTGATAAACTGAAACAAGCTGTCAAAGAAGAAAGTATTAAACGACATAAATGGAACGAGAGAGCAGAGGATAGCCTGGTACAATGTAGTGGATTTTTTTTGCATTGTTGGCTAAGTGCTGTTGAAATCTTTTTACTTAAGTTGCATATTCAGTACTTTTTCATTCTTTTAATGTAATCATAAAATGATAGATGTGTCTATCTCTCCTTTTTTATAATGTTTTAATTTGGTGTTTCTCAATTCATTTTATTACTACCTTATGTTAACTATTGCCCTAAATATCAGCTAATAAAATTATTTTGGTTGGTTCAGGAAAAAGTCCTCCATAATCTTCTGGCTGCCCAAGGGCAGTCTTGTGAGAATTGTTTAGCATCAGCTCATTTGTTAAGTATAGCCGTATAAAATAACAGCATTTCATTACCATCTTCATAGATTTTATAATCCAGAGGGATTTCATATTGTTTGTTGCATTTTTTACGTCAGTTATGCTAGGCTACGGAAGAGAGTCACATTGAAGACATGAAAAAATATTTTTAGCAGTGCTTTGAGAAATACCTTGAATAAATCCTGTGTGACCAATACGTGCTGTTTTTATAGAAATCAAAAAATTAAGAGAATGCCAGTAATCTTTTTTTTACTGAATTCTCAGTAAATTATTTATTGTATGCTAAAAAGATGTTTTCTGTTACAGCGAGTGATCCAGCACAATGCCTTAGAAGATCGGTCAATATCTGATAAACAGCAGTGGGATGCAGCTATTCATTTTATGGAAGAGACTCTCCAAAGTCGTCTCAAAGACAGTGAGTTGTGTGATGTATTCCACTCTTGTGTACCGATTTCCAGATCTAGTTCACTTTACTACAGGGCAAACTTTTGTTTTATTACAACTGAGATAGTGGTGACAGTTCAAAATGGTACCAACACTGATAAAAATGTTTAGCAAAATACAGCCTTAAAAGGTAGTGCTTTTGCAATGAGGCAGTTGAAAGATAAGTTAATAGGGATCTATAGAGTCAAAAAAGGTATGAACACACATGTAGAAGAATAGGATAAATTCAGGTAAAGTAGTTGGTCCATCTGTGGTTATCAAGCATAATTATTTTTGATGCAAGTTGCAACAAGGTAAGATTTATTTTTCTTAAACTACCAGTTGCAGTCATTTTTATATTTTAATAAAACACATCAACTTTTGCTTTAGGCAAAAGACATGTGACTTGGCTCAGTATGGCACATCTTATGTTCTTAAAAAATGTCCATTCTTGATTTACCTAATTTTAGAACTATAAATTTGGCTGGTAACAGAAATTTTGAGTGATACTTAATACCATATTTTCCTTTTTAGCTGAATCTGTTATTGAAGATATGGTGGGTCCAGACTGGAAGAAAAGATGGTTATACTGGATAGGCCGCACCAAAGAACAGGTAAAAGGAAAAGGTAGTTCACTACCTTTAGAAAACTTTGTTTATTACTTAGTAAATTTTCAAAAATACCGATCCTCTTTGCTCTATTCAGATGATTAAAAAAATTTTAAAACAACTTTTAAATATTTTATGATTACTTTTAGTATTCATCTATTTAAATATAGCACCACAGAGAGTTCCATGTACTTTTTTCATATTGCAGATATATATTGGTTTGTAAACTGTTTTCCATTCTTCAGCTGAATTACATCTTTACTATGTCGTTGACCTGAATGTTAAAGTCTTCCATTAGAAAGAAACAGGGTGGAAACTGCCCTGTTCTTTTATGTACTTTCCAAGGGTGCCTTTTAAGCAGAAGTTGCATGCTGTTTTCTGTCATGCTCCATTTGGATTTGATTAGTAGGTGATGGCATTGTCACATAGTTGTATCTCCCAATTAAGTTTTTTCTCCATGACTTCTCTTCTTATTTGCATATAGCTTTTGGAAATTTCTTTTAAATTTAAATACTATGTTCTGTTCACTGCCCAGAGATTATAGGCTTTTAATGTTACTTTTTCTAGATACTTCTCAAACTAAATCATACTTTAAAGATGTAAGTAGAGTTTAAAATAATTGTTTCAGAGGAAGGAGTTTTACAGTCAACTGTATGGAGCCAGGTATGGGAGAAAGGCAGCAACTTCAGCCTGTCTTACTTGAATATAATGAACAGCAAATTAAAGGGGTGAATCCATGGAGAGTTCTTGCTAGCTATTAGGGAAAAGTGACAATTCTCATGACTATCACAGGTGATTATGTGAATGTGGACTCCGCTAGCAGATGTTCATGGAGCAGAAAGGAGGCTGGCACCTCTGGTTTTTTTTTTTTCCCTTCTCTTCCTCTTCTGCATTTCTGTGCATAGTGAGAAGAAAAAAGTATGAAAAAACTGGCTGTGAATTATCCATTTAAAAGTACTGTATTTTAGATGTCTTTGTACAAGTACCCTTTTGAGTCACTTAAATGTAATAGTTAAAAGTGTCAGTTATTTTCAGTTCTGGCTTATCAAGCAGGTAGACTGTTTTTTGAGGAGGTGCTGATGATGTCTGAGTCTGTAAGAATTACTACTAACTAATAATTTTTATCCTAGAATATTCGTAATGAAACAAAAAATGAACTGGAGAAATTAATCAAATGCAGTGAAGAACATGCAGCTTATCTGGCAAATGATGAAGTGACAACTGTCAGAAAGAATCTTGAAGCAAGAGGAGTAACAGTGGATCCTTGTCTGGTAAGATGTGGATTTGTAACAAAACATATGGAAGACCCTGTGAACATTTGAATGTTCTTTCTAGATAGCATACAAAAGACTCCATCTAAATACTGAATTTGTAATCCAGATGTTTCCAAATTAATTACTAAATGACTGCTTGCACGCAATTCACACACTTCTGTTGGCTGTTAGACAAATGCAGTACGATGCTTTGGAATCTGTCAGTTTAGGCTGAAATCAGAACCTGCTGAGTAAGTTTTCTTGCCTGCATTACGACAAGGCTTGTTTAAATTATTGTTATAGAGAATCAAGGCCTTTGTGAGCAAGATACAATAAAAACATACTGTGCGTTCTTAAACTTTTGATGTGGTTATATGCACAGTTTGAAGTTCTTGGGTACCTTGAAGAGGGAAATCTTGTAAAAATACTTGGAAAAAGGCAAAGGGGGTTTAGGCTGTCCTGTGGGAATGTATTGTACATTTTAAATGTTCTGGGAAATTATTCATGTCGTTGCAGTGTAAGGCACTTAACATCATTAGACCTTTTATCTAGTTAAATGTAAGATTATAAATGAGAATTTAAACGTTAATAAGTAATAGATGTAGATTTCTTTTAACAGTGATTTATTTTCTGCACGAAATATTTATTTTATATTTTTTTTTTTAGTAAGAGAAATATCTATATGCATATCTGATTTTTGAAGAACTGGAATGTAAATAAGCCTAATCAAGAAAAATTACAAGTTACATAAGACCATTAAATATTTCTCTATGCTCATTCAGGTTTAATAGATAAACTAATGGGTACTACTCAAAAATGTATTCTCCATCTTAAAGATTGCGTTATGCCAAGAGCAGAACAATTTGTCCTGTTTTGTAGTATATAATTTAGATGTATTTCTGCTGCAGACTATTTTTAAGCATTCAGTTATGTTACAAGCATGGAAGAGTAGATTTTAAAATTTACAATCAGCTTTAATGTTTGCCAAATGTAACTAAGACATTAGTCATATCCCAGTTGCAGACAAATTGTTGAGAAATATTTAAATGTATACTATATGACAGGAATGGTGGAAATTGGGAGTTATACTTTGAAATTAAATGTGATCATTAAACTGTGCATGATAATGTATGTATGTATTAATTTAGTCAAATTTAAGCACTGTTTTCCTAGATTAAAGACACATGGCACCAAATTTATAGAAGATATTTTCTGAAGACTGCTTTGAACCACTGCAATCTGTGTCGAAGAGGCTTTTATTACTACCAGAGGCATTTTGTGGACTCAGAGGTAAATTGAAGTACAGATATACACTGGTGGTTTGCCTTAATATTTCCATCTCAGTTGCCAAAAAAAATAAAAAAAAATCAACTTATCTACAAACATTTTAAACTAGCCTAACCTTTCTTTTATAGCCTTTACCTTAAGATAGCTGGTGCTCTTAGATATGTTTTACATGAGGGTTGTAACTGATAAAATGCCATCCTGGTAGTAATTATATATAATGACCAGCCGTGGTCATGGTATCAGCCAAAACTTAACCATTTGTTACTTATTCATGTGTATTGAATATACACTGTTAAAAGTGGTTTTGTATAGCTATTGGTATCTTGTTGGTATCCCTTTCTCCTATTTTCCCATTGATAATTATTTACCTCACTGATACCAAAAATCAGAAAACATTAAAAACATTAACTAAGGAGGTTTTATGAGGTAAGTATGATATATAAGTGTTTAGAACTTGGAACCACATGTGATCAATGGGGAAAGAACAAACCAAACCGAAACCAAACAAAAACCCACAAACAAAACAAAAAACACCCCAACAAACAACTGTGGAGCTTACAGACGGGTCTTTTAAATGACTTTCCAGTTTTGTAAACCCAAGCTTGTGCAACAAATGACAGTATGCACAAAGTTGCACTCAGAAAAGAATATACAATTTTCTTGCTATTATATTTAAATCAAAAAGAAATTATTGGAAAGGTAGAGCTCCTCACTTTCTGTGGAATTTGTTTTTATTTTTAATGAGAAACAATGATCCCCATGGAGCCAGAAATTTTTACTACAGTAGAAATACCTTTGCCTGTAAGAGCTGAGAAAATGAGATCATACAGTGGAGAGCTGACTCTCTGTGACGCTTAACCTCCTATTCCTGTTATTGTCTTTATAAGATGTCCTAATGGAAAGTTAGTACTTGCCATCCTTGCAGGTGTAGGAACTGTCCGTTAACAAATACAGCCCTTAGCACAACACTGTATTCAGAAGTTATTTGTCAGGCAGGGAGTCACGAGTTAAAGCCATCATGGTTTCACTAAGGAGAAATCCTGCCTGA